TGATCAGGGTCAGGTGAGCTGAAAAGCAGCCTAAAAAGCAATTAAAAAGACACGTTTGACATTAGTTTGCTAAATTATAGTGACATTATAAATTTCTCTGGTAACCATAGACAACAGCACAAGTGATATCAGCAAATATTTTTTTATATCTGAATGGGGCACTACTACTTTTACAATTCATATGGATTTCATGGTCATCTAGGTGTTAAATGCAAATATTTTTTTCAGATATTTAACAAATCCTAAACTTGAGCCAAACTGCGATTACTGTCTCTAAAATATATGATTTTCCCCCCAAGATCAAACCAGAGAACTTAACAGAAATGTTTAAGAAATAATTAGTAACACATGAGGTCACAATAAGGTTTCATTTGTTAACATTAGTTACATTATTTCACTAAAAATGAACAATACTTATTAATCCTAATGTTAATGCCAACATTTACTAATATGTGGACCCTTTTCACAGACTGTGATGACGCATTTCCACAGTTATTAACATAGTAAATCAAGCTATTTTTATTTAACAAAAATGTGCCTTTATAACACTTTGTGTTATAAGGAATATGCTTATGTTACATTACTTTGGCATTAAATTACAGAAAACTAGTAGCCATCGCTACAGCATGAGTGTTTCTAATACAACAGCTGAGGGAATGATGGCAAATTTGTCATCTTTCTCTTTTCTGATTCTGAACATGTAATAAATCTTTTGATATTTTTTCCTCTTTTGTAAAGTCAGAAGTGCTATCATGGATTTTATTTATTTTGCTATTGGAACAAACTGCAACCTTAACTTTGGCAACTTCTGCTTGTGAGAACCCTGGAAATGTGAAAAGCATCCATTTTTAAAATGTAAAATTTTAAAAAGTTTTATCTGTTGACATCAGTTAAAGTCGGTATGAAACTATCAAAATTTTGAGCATCCTTTCTTCTCTATTTTGATGTATATCCTAGTGAAACAAACAGGAAAAAAAATGTAGGACAGGACTTGATTTTGTCCATCAAGAACTGATTGTTGGATAATGAACAAAGATATATTGCTCATTGTCAGTTCAGGTTAGCTAATGGATTAACTAATGGTACCAAATCAGATCAGACGTTATTGTAAAGTGTTACCAGATAATTGTTTTAAATATCTATTATTTAGGAATATATGGTCTAGCACAAGCACAATCAAATGATTTGGTGATGCTCTGAGACGTGTAATATTCCATAATAAATGTCACAACATCTACAGGCTCTTTCATGAACCCTATTTAGGCAGGCACGCAAACATTATGCCAATTTCATTTTGTAAGTGGAAGTGATATCCTCAATCTGCAAGCGTGACAACATGTGCTTAATATCCAGAATATCTAAAAGCTGTATTTAAGCCTCTATAATATAGCTTAATTACACTTGCCATGTGAATCTACAGAGGATGTCAGTCACCTCCAGTAATTAGACACTGTTATACAATGGGAACAAGCACTTGCACACACACACACATTACGGTTACGGGAATCACCGCTTCAGTGCGGCAGAACAACAAAATGGACTGCAGCCTTTCGCCTCACTTTCTCCATTCCTAAATCCACTTACCCGCCCCTTCCCTTTCCATTTCCTGCCCCCCTCTTCGCTCATTCACTAGCTCTCTGGTTTAAAACTGAAACCCAGCCTGTTCCCAACCTCTCTTAGAAACACAGCTAAACTCCACATTCTCCAGCTATTACATCACAGAGGGCCTCTGAGCGAACGCCAGGCCAGTGGATGCTATTGGAAGAAACTGACCCGCAGTTGCAGTTACTGGAACAGTTTTGTGTTTACAGATACAGAAAACAGATCCTAGATTATGGACGTCATCAGTTTAGAATATCTGTAGATGCTCCCGCCACGGTGCATGTTTGTTTAAGAGAAGTATTCTAGGATTCAAGGAAATCAGATTGTGATCAAATGGCCCATTGTTTGTGACTTGCATTACTGGTTTTCGAACACCACTGCCAATGGTAACAGCATGTCTTACTTTTGCATAATACAGGACAGGATGACGGCCACCCGAAATGCTTCCTCATGGACAGAGGGGTGTAATGCAGTATGCAAAATCCATTAGAACAAAAGCAGCCTAAAAAGCAATTAAAAAGACACGTTTGACATTAGTTTGCAAAATTATAGTGACATTATAAATTTCTCTGGTAACCATAGACAACAGCACAAGTGATATCAGCAAATATCCATTAGAACATCCAGAACTCCCAATCGGCAGAGCAGCACTTTTTTCAGCGGGAACAGAAGCGACTCTAGGATCTTTCTACATTTGTAATAATATGCCAAAAATGGGATCACTGCTATTGACAAACTGAATTAAAGGAACTAGGTAAAAATCACTCTCAGTGGGATTCAAAGCATATTAGATGATACCTTAGTAGCTGATGCCATCAGCAGATCTTCGTAAAGGTACTCCAAAACAGAAGTCAGCAAAACTAGTTTGTGCACATTAAAGATCTCAAATGACAGATCATGTGATTCAATGCCGCACAACAGGATGAAAACTATGAACAAAATTAATTTGATGCCAAAAATTGCTTTTTAATACCCAAATGTAACTTCTTTCTAAATCTAATGACTTGAAGCTATATTTTATATGCACATGAGCAATAGTTCTCAAATACTGAGAGACACATTGTCAGGTAAATATTATGTATTTTTGTAATATTATGCATACAAACAATAGCAACAAACCAAGTGTAAAGAGAGATATATACACAATAAGTACATCAAATGAATAATAGTCATTAGTGTTTTGTTTTAATAACTTTGCTTCAATTATGTCAATAAAACATTTTCAAACAATCATAAAAATGTAGAAATTAATTTGAGAGAAATTAATACTTTTATTCAGCAAGGATGCATTAAATTGATTATTCTGAATGTTCTATTTATCACAGAATCCTGAAGAAAACGTATCACCGTTTCCACAAAAATATTAAGCTGCAAAACTGTTTTCAACATTGATGTTTTGGTGTATTTTATAAAATAAATCCAAACATATACATATATATAT